TGAATGGGCGTGAAGAGAGGAGAGGCCAGTAATGTGACTGGAGCCCTTAACTGTCATAGTCACATCCCTCATTATTGCAGAGCCGGAAGTACACAGCTGCCCGTGGTGTCCCATGGGTGCATTGTAAAGTAAACAGGACACAGTGAATATTTTAACATCCATTACAAGAAGTAACTTCTTTACCACTTATTCATTTGTTAACAAGTCTGTGGCTGGAGTTCAGTTTTAAGTAATGCGTGTTCACTTTCAGACCCCATTCACACTGAGCGACATGCAAATCGCGCGACTTTGAGCGACATTGAGCGACGAGCAACATTGAGCGACATCGCGCGACATCTTCCTATTGGGCTGTATGCAATCAGGAGCAATATCGCTCAAAATCGCTCTAAAAAAGGGTCATGTAGAAGCGACAAGCTACCAGCGACGAGCTACAAGCGATATTGAGCGATATTGAGCGATATTGAGCGACATTGAGCGACGAGATGTGAACAGCTACATTGAAATGTATTGGTGAAGCTACATAGAGCGATATAGTGCGGAAATATGAGCGATATCGCTGCAAAAATCGTGCGATAAATCGCTCAATGTGAACGGGGCCTTAATATCCAGTCATGTGCAGGAAAAAAAATAACCTTACTCATGATTGGATGATTGAAATAAACACTGCTTTACTTTATATACTAAATTAAGTAAAGTATTAAGTATTAACTTTATTAAGTTAAACTGTTTGTGTTTTTAAAGAAAGTAAATCAACCCCAAGGTCTCACTTTAGTGTGATGCAGACAACAAACTATTATAAACAGAGTTCCCCTGCACCCTCTTCGTTAAAGAAAAATACATTCCAAAACAATAAATTGGTAAAAAAAACATTTAATGCTTACCTCTTCAGTGAACTATAAGAGGTACAGCCTCCAGCATGATCTTCACATTGGCATTTTCGGGCATATCACATGTCTATATCCCCTGCCATACTCTGTGGTTCCATATGCCAACCCCTATGTTACTACAGGACAGTTTACGGTAGGGTTCGGTAGGAGGAATAACAATGCACAGTGAGGGACCAGGCACGCCTGGATATGTCAGACGTGAAGATTCTGCCTGAGGCCATAGCTCTTGCAAAGAGTGAAGTGTTTACAACCTGTGGGAGAGGTAAGTATTGAGTCTACTTTTACAAAATATGTTTTTTAGATTTTTTATTAATTCAAGCAACAGTTGCTTTTAGGGCCTGTATCTACAAATTCTGGGCTTGTGTCAAAGGGTAATGCAGCTTGCTTCCGGGTGCAATCTGTTTGCAGGAAGCTGAATTTACACTGGCCTGCAGTTGACCTCGTTCTGACCTACATTCATCTCCTTATTAGGGTTAGTTCACACCATATGCATTGCGTTCCGGTCCGATTCTGGCCGGAAGGCTCTGCATCGCATTGCGTCCGGCTCACTTTTTCCCGGGCGGTGGGGGGAGTGGTGGGCCATTGAAGTGAATGGCACTGCAATGCGATCGGCCGCACGGGATGACAAGGCACATTGTGCCTGCAGTGCGGTCCAGTGCCACGCCCCCTCCAGGCTGGCAAAAAGTGAGCCGGACGCAATGCGATGCAATGCGTTCCGGCCAGAATCGGACCGGAACGCACTGCATATGTTGTGAACTAACCCTAAGTTGCATATACCTGCTTCCAGCTACTTTTGTATTCCCACTGACTTGAATGGGGAAAGAAACCAAGCCAGGCCATTCTCCACACAGAATACCGCACACTTGTTGGAAAATTATGTTTTACTTTCAACACATGTACTAGCAGAGTTCATGCTTAAATAAAACTAAATGGTACCAGTGCATGAGACTTAATAACATTCCTTTACCAATCTTGTTTTCTCTTAACTGGTATTTTCTTTATCGTATTTCTTCAATATGTATTTATGTCTTAGAATTCACTTTTTATATTTTTCGGTATACAGCCTAATGTATTCAAAGCCTTTTGTAGCTTGAACATTCGACCTTTGCAATAAAAAAAATATCAGATGTGCAGATGGTCAGAAATGGTTCTTTTTCATATTTTAATTTCCCTCATAAAATAGGCATCTATGTATAGAGCAATATGGAGAAGCTGCATTGTTATGTGTAAAAAGATTACCACCCACTGGGATACCTGCTGGCTTGATATTACACTAATAGCTGTAGACTCCTTCTTACCTGGGGGTGTTTTTCCATCTTTATGAAAATTCTATCAGCTTAATAGAAACAGATTGGTGGCATTGTGGATAACTTCACTAAGGAACAAATAAATATTCTGCACAGCGGTTATTAGCTTACACTAGTCCGTGGACATTTCTGAATGGAAAATAACAAGTGCATTTGAAGCAGAAGCACATACAAAAAAAAAGCACTATACATATAAAATATCAATAATGTACACACAGAATATGCTTCTTATTAATGTTAGGGTCTGTGTTGAAGGTTAGCAATCAGTTCCCAGCAGGTGTAATACCTAGTTGAGTGTGTAATATGTAATATGTAATACCTAGTTGAGTGTCTAAGACAAATACAATTCAAAATGTGTTTGGAGACAAGTTTAATTTTCTGTTCAAGACCAAAACTTTTTGTTGTTCTAATATGTGTTCATCCAACAAAAAAGCAAACATGGGTACACAGAAGTTACTTGTACTCCTTAATAAATGTTGTATTTTGCATGGAGTTCTCCACAGAAGTGTGTCTTGTGGAAGAATCTCAAGTTTCAGTGTTACCTACTGGTGCAAACCTACTTATGAATTTACTGTATTTTCTTCTTTATTTCGCTTTAACTACTGGAACTAAAGACAAGTATTGGAATTAACAGAATTCATAAACACATATGATCTGACTTTTGCTGCTCTGTCACCTTCATCATTCTGATAAGGCACTGGCTCCCAGATCCTGAGTGTGCATAGCTACATCAAATAATAGTCACCACTAGAATGTTAACATTTACAGGGCTCTGTAATTTGGTTGTGACACTAAACTCAGAGTTTAAGAGGCATTAGGTAGGATGGTTAACCTATGTTGGAATTAGATTCTGCAGGGTTCCAGTCACTAAAACCATGGCAGCCTGTATTTGAGTGCTGCAAAAATGTTCAACTTACATGAACTTTTAACTCCAAGGTGCTGCAAATCATGTGAAGATAGTTCTGTTTTTTGGTCACATGACACAAAATTAGGGTGAAAAAAATTCTGCTTTATCACAGCTGAAAAATATTTCAAGCCAGAACTGGACCCCTACCCAACCTACTGCATTCTTCCTAATATGCTCCTAATATTTTAAAGTGTCCATAAAATGGCAGCTATATCTACCACATCTATCTATCTATCTATCTATCTATCTATCTATCTATCTATCTATCTATCTATCTATCTATCCAATAGTCATATGTACCATTATCAATCAAATGAATAATTTTATGACCATGTATAGCTAGATGTCACTAAACCAAATTTTACATAAGCACCAAGCCATCTGCATACTAATCCATCTCTGCAAGACCAAGCAACTATTACAAAACACCCTTGAAAGCGCAACAGCCGAACCACATTATAACCAAATGTGTTTGAAAACAGATGTAGGAGTTGCTTTACTTAAAAAGCATAAAGTGTAGCTGTAAACAGTTTGGATTTGAGTGAGGATGCCCCCCTCGTTCAATTAGCTTAGGAAATAAGGCCAAACTGTGTTCACTTTGGTTATGCAATTATGTTCAATGGAAAAAACACTATAATAAACACAACTTCCCCTTATTCACTAAGCGAAATAATCATTTTATTTTCCTAATAAACCAACATATTTAAATACCAAATCAGGAGCAGGGACATTTAAAAAAAAAGCATTATAAACAAAAACTCAGTTTGGCTTTATACATAATTGGATGATTCATTTTATTTACTGATTTTTATGTGATTGGATGCCTCACTTTACTTACCAAGCTAAGTAAAGATTGTCTGTAATAAGTGAGCATTCTCTACTCCTTAATCGACCCCATAAAGTAACTGTAATTTATGGTATCTTCTTCCAATCAACAGGACTGACAAGGATTTTAAGAATGACCCGAGGTAATGGGTTGAATTACTACAGAGAAATAGGTTTTTCCATTTTTTACTATGCTAATGGAATTTTTCCTTAGCTTGATGAATGAGATGAATATACTTTGCAAAGAATACCCATTCATGTGAAAGGAGAATTAAAAAAATAGTATTTCTGCTTGCACATGATTGGAGGATGGAAGTCAGCATAGCTTCACCTATGTCACTACGTTAAGGAAAAATTCCTTTGCAAAGCGAACAAGCCTTTTTGTCTTAAGTAAGTAAACCCCAATGTTTAACTTGCGATAGCCATTGATAATGATTCTTTAGTCTTGCAGGTGTAAAGCAAATACGATTCATGACTGAATAATCTGCTACCCCAATCAAAATTTTAAGATATTTTTCTACAGAAGTTCCCTGATCTTACCTTGTTTTCATATTGCATTCTTGCATACATCAAATGTGAACCAGTGTATCTGCTAGATTCTAACACAGACCTCATTTGAGGGCAAAAAACATTGTTTAGTTCTCTAATACAAAGAAGCAGGGGCACATGAAAGGAACTTCGCGTTTGCTGTTAACCATATTAACGCTTTGCAACATTTGGTTGAAACTGATGCTGAGAGTTTCAGCAAAGCAGTTTATACCATATCCATTTATGTTAGTACACAGGAAACATGATGAATAAGTAACAAGTAGAAAACATGCTTTCCGTAATATGATAAAACACAAACAGGCTTATTTAATAAGATGAGCAAAGTACAATGACAATGTGCAAAGTACATTAACCCATGACAGACAGCAAGCTTCTTTTCCCTTAATTGAATTCTGATTAGTTGCTATTAGATATGCTTTATGTACAAAGACATTGTACCTTGTGCTCCCATATTAATTATGCCCAAGATGTTTACTTTTATGACTCTAGATAACTCTCATAGAAGAAAATGTACATTACACTCACCATTTATTATCAAGATGTATTCTGCACTGTTTTTACCAATGGAGTTGGTTGCTTCGCATCGATATGTTCCATTATCTGTTTTGTTCAGAAAGGTTATTGTTAATTCTCTTCCATTCACTACCATTCTTTCAGGATCTGGAAGATCTCCCCCATCCTTTGTCCATAATACTGGCTCTGGTCTGCAAACAAAATGCATGAATACACAAGTTAAGAAAATCTTTGGGTTATGATTATGGTGTTTTGACAGCTGAGGTCCTATAACAGTGGCCAGGAACCTTCAAATTCTCTTAATTTAAGTTCTTTATTTAACATCACACAAACATAAAGACAGGGTGTGCTCACGCAGTATTACATTTACATGCATAATGCAAAACAAAAATCGGTTTTATGTAAGCATAACATTTTATAAAACATTACATTAGATAAGAAATAAAGAAAGGTTGCATGTAGGAAACCATTATGGACTTCTTGTGGGTAATTTGGCAGTCAAATGGGATTTGTTATAGTACTTAAAGAAAAACTGAACTGTCATAAAAAAATTGATTTATCATCTAAAATTTCTATGCAATCCATTTTGTAATTTGAGGTGATTAAAAATTACTTTTCCATTTCAATGTGCAGGCACTGTAATTCTCTGAAAAAAACTGTCAAATAGTTAAATTCAGTATGGCAACCTGGAGGTATTCTGTACACTGTGGGGTCTATGCACTAAGATGCCAAAGGATCTAGCCGTAGCTTCGGCTGATCCTTCGGCCCCAGGACCCCTTCGGTTCAGTAGAACCTAAGGGCTGCAGTACGGGCTATTCACTATAGCCCGTACAGCTCCCGAAGTCGGCCGAGCGGCTCAGTCGAGTCGAAGGCATATGCTTCGGCTCGAATGAGCCGAGGTGAAAGCTGAAGCTGACCGAGCAGCCAGCCATTGGCCAGTCGACAGCCTGCTTCTGACAGCTGGGTGGAGCCAGCCGTCATCTTACAGCTCGCTCCGGCCACTTGCAGAGAGATCAGCGTCCCTGGTTACCAGCTAACCTGGGACGCTGTCATTACACACTGAGAACCCGCACGGGCCACTATGATATCACAGCGACCTCTCCATGTTCTCAGTGTGTAATGACAGATGGCGTTCCTGGTTACTCGGTAACCAGGAACGCCATCTGTCATTCCTTCCCCGGACGCTCTGGGAGTCTAATAGGCTCCCGGCCGTCCTGGAGAGAAACACTTTCTCCCAGAAAGGTACACTCTGCTTGATCGAGCAGAGTAAACCTTTCCCTGCTCGTTTTTTCTTTTTCTGCTGACATTGGAGCCATTGGCTGCCGTCAGAAAAAAAAAAAAAGAGAAATAACCATAGGAATGCTTAGCTAGATTCCTATTGGCTATTGCAAAGTGAAAAAGCCAATAGGAATCTAGCTATGCATTCCTATGGTGTTCTTTTTTATTTTTATTTTTTTGAAACCAACAGAACCGCCCGGCCAATAGAAAACAGTTGGGCGGAGCTAGCTGTCAAAGAGCACAAAGAGGGGGGCGCCTTTCCTGGTGCAAATAAGTTTTATTCAATTGCAGGTAGACAAAGAAGAGAGGTACTCACAAGGATAAAATTAATAAAAGCCATGGAACTATAAGCCGGAGTAAGGCAAGTGGAAGTCAACGATGTGGTTCCTATGTGCCAGTATAAAGATATCTGCATTGACGCGTTTCTGGGACACGCCCCCCTTCGTCAGAACATGGCTCCTCCTTCCTCCCCATAGAGTATATATAGAGGCATGTTGTACAATCAGATGGAGCCCCGACGGCTCATCACTTACTATACGAGTGTGGGCAGTGTGGTGAGAGAAGAAGAGTCGCTGTCACTGCTAGCTCCGCACAATCGTTTTCTAATTTTATTTCCTACTTTTTAAACTATTTTTCTATTCTGCTGGGTTCCACAGAGCAGAATAGAAATCATTTACTCACTGCTGTTCGGCATCTATGAGTATAGACCGAACAGCAGCGAGTAGCCTGCCGGAAGTTCGGCTTAGCCGAACCAGATGTTGGATCGGCTGAGTCGAACTTCTTCTGCTCTTCGGGTCAGCCGAACATGCTGTGCATGTTCGGCCGACCCAAAGCCACCCGATGTACGGCTGATTTCAGCCGATATACAGCTGGAATCAGCCGTACCAGCCTGAAGTGAATAGCAGAACAGCGTTCAGCTCACTTCGCTTGGGGTCGGTTAGTCACTCGGCTGCCTACGGCAGCTTAGTGAATATACCCCTGTTTGTGAACACAATGTCCAACGAAATGTAATTTTCTGCTTTTGTTCATGGTTCACTGATTTTCTCAGAAGTCTGCACTAAGATATACTGTAAGTACAATTTTAGATATGCCCTGCAATGAGAATCTTATTTTTGTTGAGATACTCCCTTAGGCTTGTCTTCTAAAGGGATGCACATGATGCAGTTTTCCTCATCAGAGTAGGGATGAGCCGAACACCCCCCTGTTCGGTTCGTATTCGAACATTCGAATGGCCGAAATGTTCGAATACAAACTCAAACTCAATGCAAGTGTATGGGGGTCGAATGTTCGACCCCCATACAGTTGCCGGTACATGTAATAAATACAGTGTACTGGGCCCCTTAACTCCGCTGCTGTCACAGCCTCCGGTCCCCTGGTCCGTCCACTCGCTGTCCCGGCCTCCAGTCCCCTAGTCCATCTGCTCGCTGTCCCGGCGGTCCGTTGGCTTCTCTCCTTCAGTCCTGCCGCGGCACCTCTGCCCCGCCCCCCTGCCTCCACTTCGTCTGCAGGCTGGGAGCCATACCGAGCCTGCTATTGGATATTGTAAAATGCAATAGCCAATAGCAAGCTGGCTACTGCACCCGCCTGCTGTCAATCAGCATGGGGGCACCTGATAGAGAACTTTCTCCTTCAGGCCCCTCCTCCGCTGAGCCCTGATTGGGCAAAGTCTTGCACCCGACCTGTTGTCAGGTGCAAGACTTTGCCCAATCAGAGCTTCAGTGGGCATTTTGTATTATGGAATGTACGCGGTCGAACAGACCACGAACATCCCATAAAGTTCGGCGCTCGGCGAGCGCTCGAACTGCCGATGTTCGATTCGAACTCATGTTCGAATCGAACACTCGGCCCATCCTTACATCAGAGCACTAAAATTTAGTAAGGTTGTTATAATGAGTGCCTAGCCTCCTATTCTGGAAAAAGACATGATGAAAACAAACAGCACTGTCTTTGGAACAGAAAAGGGTAGAGATCTACAACAAAAATGTTAAAATCCTTGCAATGTGCATAGAGGAGGGTGCTGTGTTCAGCACCGATGGTGCATTCAAATTTCTTTCCGCTTCACTAAACTCTGTCAATGCCAACACTGGACCTCAACCAAAACGTTCTGAAGGGGGAACTTCTGCATGCTGAGGCCAACAACAAAAATACTTTTTTTGATTGAAAGGCCCTATTACTGGAGTATTTAACAAGCAAAGAAGGGTGAATTAATTATCATGTGAATTTGGCTTACTGGGTTAATATGATATTTTCCATTGAAATTTGTTTTTTTTTTAAATCTGTAGGCAATCAAGATATTATTCTTAGTATACCAACAGATTAAATAACATGTAGCTTATTTTCATTAACTGGAAATAAAGTAAACAACATGTATTTACAGATAAACCTGATCAGAATGGAGAGCTAAATTTAGAGTCAAGCCTCTGATGGCAGAGAACTTCAGAAGGCTCACATGGTAAAGAACAATACCAATCAACTTCTGGACATTGCTATTCAGGTTTATAATAACATCATGGTCCATCTTTAGCTTTACACACAGAATCCCACACCCAAAAAAACAAACACATTTTTATATTTTACCTATTAGTTAAGTCTGTGAAGGTTTTCAGTTATCCAGGCCATGGTAGTTAGTTAAAATCAACCTGACTTGCTCTGTAATGTCGAAGACATTTTACTACACATCCAAGTGCCTTCCTCAGATGAAAACTCAAAGGACAGGAGCGCAACTACCAGGAGTGACGTGAACGGAGTGGATCTGGTGGGTCTATGCGAAGGGGGAAGATAGTGGAACTTGACGTGTCAGATCTCGGTGTGTGCCGTACTGTAAAAGCAAACTAACTTACAGTTGGAAGCTTCTCCGTGGTCTGTGTGGCGCTCTCTTTAGACAGATCCTGGGTCGCCGGGACCCGATGGTGTCCCCGGTGGTAGGAGAGGTTGGTCTGTTGGGTGTGCTTGTCAGTATGGCCGCCCGCGTTCTCGGCTGGCCGGGCCGAGCCACGTCGGTCAGAAACGAAGACAGAGTGGGAGGAGCTTTACCCGGCTGGGGAACGCCGTGCGCCGTGTGACGGGGTGGATCGCCAAGTCTGTGACTGTCGGGTGTCTCCAGTGGCTGCCAAGTGGCTGGCTATGCGTTTCGAGGGTTAACCTCTTTTTCAAGCCTCAAAAATACTTAAATCTCCTCCCACTCTGTCTTCGTTTCTGACCGACGCGGCTCGGCCCGGCCAGCCGAGAACGCGGGCGGCCATACTGACAAGCACCCCCAACAGACCAACCTCTCATACCACCGGGGACACCATCGGGTCCCGGCGACCCAGGATCTGTCTAAAGAGGGCGCCGCACAGACCACGGAGAAGCTTCCAACTGTATGTTAGTTTGCTTTTACAGTACGGCACACACCCAGATCTGACATGTCAAGATCCACTATCTTCCCCCTTCACATAGACCCACCAGATCCACTCCGTTCACGTCACTCCTGGTAGTTGCGCTCCTGTCCTTTGAGTTTTCATCTGCAGTTACGTATAGACAGGGTCCTCTCCCTGCAGTGAGGAGCTTTGCACACCTACAAATATCAGCCACCCCATTGAAGTTCGCCCACAGGATTGCGCTTTATCTTTTTTTGTGTTTTCAAGTGCCTTCCTCAGTTATACTGAGTGTCAGGAATATACCTCTGCACTCATAGCTACACAAATAACCCAGCCGACTGACATTCATTAAAACTGAAGAAAACACTTGCATGAGCAGCATAATGTCCTCAACATTACAGAACAAGTCCAGTTGAATATCACTTACTACTACTTTTCACTGTTTATTTGTCTTCTATCATCCATTAAGTGTTTCAGTGGACATCTCAGAGCATTATCTATTGATAAGGAAGGACTGGCATTTAGCGCAGAGGATCAAGACACAGGAGAGGTGG